ACGTCGTGTCACTTGATCTATCAGATTCATGGTCGCGTTCGCGACATAGTGGTCAGTACACCGCCATCCGAGATCGCATATCAAGTCCAATGGTTTTCTTTTCTTTTTTTTTTGTCAGCAGCACTTCATATGATGTAGCTCACAGAGGAGCCAGAAGGTTCTTCCCAAAAAGCAAAGAAACTGAGTGAAACTGAGAAATTGAGAAACTGAAACACTTGCCACTACTCACTTTCCGAAGCATGTCCTTGGGAGTAGGCCAATACACTCGAGGACACACAAAAAAATGAGTAGGAACCTATATCTAAGAAATCGTTCTGTTGATATGGTCGTTTTGCTTCCTTGAATTCCTTTCGCTTCCTCTTTGTCGTGACTTTCGCACGACCTCTTTGCGCACCGTCTTCTATTGCAGCCGCTGCACTACATCCCACGAGCAAGGTCTCTCCAACGGGTCCCACCGCGCAACTGCGTTGCAGCCTTCGCCTGGTATAGGAAAAGTTGGCTTCAAAAAGAAAAGCAATCTTCGTCAGTCCCGACTTATGCACGCGCAGGATTCAGCTGGAGCTCTACATGGTTCCTTACCATCGTCTTCGACTTTACCACGCTAACCCCAAGCTATTCGTCCGCATTCCCGACGTCAGTTATTACTACTAACTTCTCATCGGCATTGGATGATAACTGGATGTGCGCAGTTTCGAGCAAGGACCGGCATGCCAAGGAGGATTACTGCACGCGACCACGGGTGAGGTTTATAATTTTGATGGTGACGGCATCCCGATATCCCTCTGCGCTGCTGTCCATTCCCCGGACAGCCCCTAGTGCGCAGCCCGTGGAAGGTGGATCCCGGTCGTCGCAAGGATAAGTGGAGTGGGAACTCCTGCTCCGCTGCGAGTGGCGACCGGACGTGCCAAACGCCCCCCGGCTAACGCCACTGCGCATGAGCAGGAGGGTTACCGCGCATTGTCGACCCCTAGTGAGGTGAGGTACCTCCCCGTAGAATTTTTAGCTAAGCTCACTTTCGTTTTGTAATTAGACATAAAGCCGCTTTTTCATTTTGTGTTTTGTTATGTAGCAAGAGTAGTCCATCCCTTACATATTTACTTCGATCATGATGGGCCACAGCCTTTTCTTGATTTCTTTACTCTTTCACTCGCATAATATGTCTAACAAGTTTATNGTAATTAGACATAAAGCCGCTTTTTCATTTTGTGTTTTGTTATGTAGCAAGAGTAGTCCATCCCTTACATATTTACTTCGATCATGATGGACCACAGCCTTTTCTTGATTTCTTTACTCTTTCACTCGCATAATATGTCTAACAAGTTTATCTTCAACAATGACACGATCGATAATATTGGTGTTCCTTAACACCAGTCTCTGAGTTCATAATGTCGAGGGTAGCACAGGACCACCTTCGAGCGCAGGGTCACATCGTTGGTCGTAATCGATTCGCTAGGAGATACTTAACCTCAAGGAGCATCCCACGAGGATGAGGATCCGCAGGTACCATGGTACGGCGAGGTTATCAAGCGCAGCACCCTTGTGTTTTGGTTGGATGTCACGGCGGCGCACACCCCATAGCTTCTAGTCGTCATCCTGGATTGCCCCACGGGATGGGCGTCCGTCGCGACAATATGGTGCATCGGACTGAGGTTGGCCATGTGGTAACACATGCCCGGCCTTCGAGATCGAACCTCTTCTGCGCTAGTAACAAAAGAAAGGAGTGTCAGCCAGAAGCGCCCATGGAACTGTTCGGGTAGATCCGAGCAGCCCACAGAATGACCACGCACGAAGCATCGACTAGGACGTACCTTGATTGCCCCTAGGGCGCGTGCGGATGTTATGGTCCTGGAGTGGCACCAGCAGCCGTACGACGCACGCTGCCCAACCTGGGATAGGGAGTGAGAGAGGACTATCCTTCTGGAAGCATGATGGAAGCTCTCCGAACGGACACCGTGGAAGCTACCAGGCAAAATTGCATGGACGGAGACCCAGAGATCGGGAGAAGCCTCCCTCATGTAATCTGGATAGTGGGGTCCTTTACAGCAGAGCTGCCCGGTGAAACCTTTTTGCATCTTCACATCTTCCAGGCCGCATCTTCGTTCCGTCGGCGTCTGAGGGTCCTCGATTAGAACTGTCCGCGCAGTTCCATGTAACCATCTTGGTTGACACTCCACGAGTAAAACGACGTAATTATTCGTTCTCGTTCACACGTTGCAATCCATATAGCTCATCTTCCTCGTATAACATCTCCTCTTGCGATCGGATTATTATGTCAAGGCAAACGTCGATTATACGCTTATCACACTCTGCCGGGAGAGGCTCGCGGCCGGAGCCGTCTCACGGCAATGAGCGCACTTACCTTTCCAATTTTAGATTTGGGTCAGGCAGTAAGCACCTCCTGGCTTCAGTCAGTCATGTCGACTATCAGCGCATGCAAAGCCAGTCTAACGGAAGTTCTCACTGCACTCGAGACGACAAGAGGTAAGATACATACCTCAAGATCTTGTGAGCTCGTTTAGCAATGAGTCATTGTCGCCAGCCGACGAGCGTCAGCTTCTTGACCGCCCTTCGGCCGCACTTGTCGAACATGCGTGCAGCCTTACGCATTGTGCGAGAGAAACAACAGTCGTTTTTAACATTCGTAACATCCTCTAGCAATTCAGAAGTCGATAATGAAGCATACATGGACTACATGCAACAGTCCAAGATTGAGGATGGAACGGTAGCTGCAGAAGCCCTTATTCATACTCTTCATGCAAGGCTGGAAGAAGTATGCGCACGTCTTGAAGCACTTCGCTCGGTAATACAAAATAATACCCAGAAACTGAGAGGGAGCACTACGATAGAACTAAACTCCTGCTCTAAACCCAGCCAACCTGCGCAGCTACCCTTCCCTAAGTCCTCCCCAAAGGATACTCCACCTTATGGCGCAGCGGATACTAACTCGGCAACTTTCACTACCCAACAAGGGTTACGTCAGCCGACAGTTCAACTCGGTAAGCTCACGCTCGAACCCTTTACGGGGATATCACGCAGTTTCAACGCTTTTGGCGTGCATTCGAAGTTGCAATTCATGAAGACAATACCAAAAGTACGACGTACAAGTTCCTCTACTTACAAAGCCTACTCAAAGGTGAAGCGCAGATTGTGCTGCAAGATCTGGATCCCGACGAATGCAACTATTTCGAGCTCGTGCGAGCACTCAAAAAGAGATATGATCGACCGCATAAAACACGCGCAATCCTTTATAGGCAATTGCAGCAGCTACCCACAGCCGGCAATTCAGGGACAGATCTACGCAATACATGATTTCGTGTGTCAGGAATTCTTCGAGGGCTACGCAAATGCGAAACTTCCGCTCAGTCCTACCAAGTTTCCTTCAGACATACAACAAAAGCTCCATGACTTGGAGCTTCATTCCGGGGGAATACTTCGACTTATACCAAATCATGACCCATCTAGATCATATTATCGCCTCGAAGGAAAAGTATGAGGATACTACTACGCTTAAAGATAGCTATTCAATCAACAGCTTCCATGGTACTCAAAGCGTAAGGTCACGATCACAGTCACCACAAAATGAAGTTGTTGACTGTGCATTCTGTGGCACACAAGCACACAAGAGCCGCAACTGTTCCGTTAAAATACCACTGGAAGCTCGCATGAACATCGTCAGGGTCCTCAACCTCTGCTGGAGATGTCTGTCCGAAGGACATTTTAGTCGCGCATGTCAGTATCCAGCGTGAAAACACTGCACAGGAGACCATCATGAGCATCTTTGCAGAAATCGTAAGCCTATGAAGATAAGCGACACAGTCACGTCTGTACGACACTCATAGGTCGCGCAGACACGACTACGAACGCAACAAACAATCTTATCGCTCACCTCTAGGGACAGATATCCCTTCAGAAGCCCTTCACAGGAGCGATACAGACGCAGAAGCAACACCGACAATGAGCACTCGCGTTCACCATCGTGGTGATGAACGCCATCGCGACTATAGTTCAAGGTCACACTCTCCAGCCGTGCGCCAATCGCGATCGCCACGTCTTCGCACCCCACCGTACCGTCGATCTTATTACAGTCCCGTAAGAGATACCCAATCAGGTTGGCGCTCGGAATCGCCACACCCTATCACCTTTCAACATCAGGCGCAAGATTCAGACACAGAGTTAGAACAACTCAATCAGTGTTACCCATTACACCGCGTTAGGCGCCCAGCAACAAAAGCGAACCTAATGTTGGTCAAGGCCAAGGTGTTCAATTACGATTATTCCAAACTCAAAGAGGTTATTCTACTCCTGGACTCAGGGGCCAAAAAAAGCTTCATAACAACCAGTACAGCAAATCGTTTAAGACTGCCTATTTATGACAAAAAGAGCGCACATTTGCAACGTTCGGAGGTCTTGAATCTACCGAAATGACAGGTATAATAGACGTTGACTTGCTTGATATTCAAAATCGTGTGCTTCAGCTACATCTTACAAGCAAAGATGTCGTAACATTACCGCAGTCTCCTCCAAAGATCTCTAATCCCGACTTAAAGTTCATAGAATAGAATCGTCTTCGAGCCTCATCGTATCATGCGTGACAATCAGTATTGCCGGACATACTCGTTGGTATTGACCCAAAGATCTCTAATCCCGACTTAAAGTTCATAGAATATCGTCTTCGAGCCTCATCGTATCATGCGTGACAATCAGTATTGCCGGACATACTCGTTGGTATTGACAGTTACTGGGACGTTCTTGTGCAAGAACCCCTAGTCTGTTTTCCATCGGGTATGGTTTTGACACACACTAGGTTCGGAACCGTCGTGTCGGGTAACTCGATTTTTCACTCGGGATTCCGAAAGGCCCAAAGACCGACGAAGTTCATGCAACGTTCAACGCAGATGATGAGCTTGCAAGACGACTTTGTTCACTTGATTCGTTAGGTATCAAGGACAGCCATCATCCCAAAGCAGATAATGAGCTTAACGCTCGTGTTCTTAAAAAGTTTTTCGCCTCTTCAAAGTTTATCGACGGCCTCCTTTATGTTCAATTTCCTTGGAAAGCATCCCATCCAAAACTGCTCGACAGGAAAGAGCTAGAGGCGAAGAGGCGTTTCACCAAATTTAACTTCAACGGTCAAAGCGAGACGCTACTCGTTTTCTTTGGTTTGAAGACCCGTTTAGCCCGCAAACAGGCGACAATATACGCGTATTTCGATTTACACGCATCCCTTTCGGGGTTAACGCGTCACCATTTATGCTCGCAGCTGCCATACAATACTATTTGCACTGTCTTCGCAGGTCCCCTCTTCAAGGAGATTGAACGCAACACCTATGTAAATAATGTCGCATTTGGAGCCGAAACACATGATGAGGCCATCAAGAAATACGAGACAGCAAAATCTGTCTTCGGTGATATGCACATGAACCTGCGTCACTTCGTATGCAACTCAAAACTTGTCAACAATTCCACACCTCAGGAAGATAGGGTTGCTAGTAGTGAACACACTACGTTGCTAGGCATCGTATGGAACTATCACAAGGACCTTCTTAGTATGACAATAAAAACGTTACATGTTCCAATTCATTCGAAGCGTACAGCACTTCGCGCTCCAGCGTCAAAATATGACCCGCTTGGCCTACTAACACCATTCTTCTCCAATGTTGAGATGTTTGTACAAGATCGATGGGCCAAAGAACTAACCTGGAACAATGCGCTAGATCATTCTGACCGTCAACGTTGGTCAGATCTTCTCGCAGATCCTAAATATCCTCTTCCGTCAGTTCCTAGATTAGTAATTCCAGCTGATAAGACGCCTAGTTGTGGCGAACTATGCGTGTTTGGAGACGTGCGCATATCTTCTATGTCGATCCGAGTCAGCTACCTCTTCCAAACTCGTTATGGCTAAATCGCATCTCAGTGACCTCAAGCCAATAACGATTCCTCGGTCGGAACTTCTCGCAGTCTTTATAAGTGTTCGAGTTGCTTTCGTCCAAAATAGGGTTAGCACCATTAACAATATTCAGTTCCATCAACGAAACATCAAGAGCAAGTTCTACTGTGTTACGTCCAAAGATAACCCCGCGGATTGTGTCACTCGTGGCCTTGCCACGAAAGAAGCCGAGAATCATATCTGATGGACAGGGCCAGCGTATTTAAGTCAAAATCCGTCTGAATGGCCTAATGCGCACTTAGATTTCACATTGCCGCCGCAAGGCGACAACGAAAGCGAGTTTGAGTATCGAACAGCGAATACTGTGCTAAGTTGCAGTTTCACCTCAATACTACATTTCTCGTATACTAACACATTTAACAAGTTGCTTAACATAGTAACTTACATTCTTCGTTTTCTGCATTTTAAGATCTTCTCCCATCTTTCTACAGGAATGAAGGAATGTGTAGAAAGATCACTGCCGCAGTTAGCAAAGATCAGTTCGAAAGGCCTATTTACATCATTAGACAGGATTGCAGCGAAGGAAATTGTTATCCTTGTCACTACCGCGAGCATGAGCATACTTTACAACGGTTACCGTTGTCGCGTTTACATGCTCAAAAAGACCCCAGCG